CCTCCGCATCTCTGGCCTGTACCCCAGTTCTGTATGAATAAATAAATAAATCTTTAAAAAAAAATCCTTAAATGAAACTTGTAAAAGGAAAAACAACAGCCTTAAACAATTTATTTGAAGGGTTCATGATCACCAGTAAGGGTGATGTCAGAATCCAGAATCCCAAAGGGACAGAAGAAATTGTATCTTATATCTGCTTTGGAGAGGGCCCGTGCCCAAGTTTACCTGTAATGGCCACAGCTGTTCGTCTCTCTGATACTTTTATTTCTGGAGTCACTTCTCCCAAATCTGAATGTCTGAAATGATTTTAGAAGAAAACATATAATTAAAATAAAGAAATGGCGCTTTCACCTATCAAATTGGCTGCATATTAAAATCTCTTGGGGAATGTTTAAAAATTGCAAATCCTGAGTCAGAGCCTAGATCCAATAAAGCAGAATCTGGACCAAAGACAAGCCAGCACTGCTATTAAAAATGCCTCAGTGATCCTAATGTGCAGCCACTGTTGAGAAGCACTAATAATAGAAAAACCAGCACCTCTCAACAACTGCAGGCTAGAACATAAATATAGTTGTTCAGAAAGACATAAAAATTATACATACCCTTTCACCAGTAATTCCACTTCTATCCTAAGGAAATAATTAAGATTTAGTTACAAAGATGCTCCCACTGCCAAATCTGGGACAATTTGAGCATGACTATAATTAAATATAGTAACTTATTTTAAAAATTAAAAACAGAAATTAATGAGTCAACAGAGATAAATTAAGGGAGGTGGAGTGAAGAGGGCTCTTGCTTGTAATAGAATCCTCATGTGCAGAGGGGCTGCAGTTGGAATAGCATCATTTTGCAACCATCTTAATCAAGATTGGCTCAAGCAAGAAACATCAATTAATACCAGCTCTTAAAGAAAAATGCTGAAGAGGAGCAAGATATTTTCCTAGCATCAAAATTTGTCCTTACAGACTGCCAAGGAAAAAAAATACACAAGGAAAAATTTGGACAATACTTGAGTAGGTGGTCAAAGCCAGTAATAATGGAAACAGATGGTCATTGTGTGCCCCAGCAACAGCACTCGGAAAAGGGCAAAACATCATTTATCCAGTGTCCACAGACAAACTAAAAATGAAACATTATGCCCAAGTGGAGAAGAGTATTATCCAAAAGTATGATTGTTAAAAAAGAACAAATGAAGAAATGTTCTAGATTAAAGGTGCTAAAGACACATGAAAAATAAATGCAATGCCTAACACTAGAATGGATCCTAAACAAGAATGAGAAATTTTGAACTTAACTGACAAAATTGAAATATAGGTACTATCAATGTTAAATTTTTTTGATATTGATATCTTTTATCTGTGGTTATACACTGTGGTTATGTAAGAGAAATTCTTAGGAAATAAAGTTAAGGGTTATGGGGTAAAGGGTATGTTTGCTACTTGTTCATAAAGGTAAGGCAAAAATTATATATTTATGTATGTATGTGGACATACAGAGAAAGTTCAAAGTTGGAGAATGGCAAATAAACTAAAATGTGAAGAATTTGGACGATGGATCTTTTTATTTTTATAATTTATCTCTAAGTGGAAATTATTTCCAAATAAAAAGTTTTGAGTTAATAGTGCTTGGTTATGTGTGGGCATTATAACAACAGACTTTTTTATCTTATTTGATTTTATATTTAGAAGAAGCAAATATTGATTTAATAAAACTAAAAGAGCTTTTAAACGATGCTGTGAAAAGGGTCAAAGCCAAAATAAGTTTGGTACCCCAGGAAGACTTGATAATCTGGTGACTTTTCCAGACAATATTCTTTCAATAGTACACTTTATTACAAAGTTTATTTTTACATCATTTTGCACATTTTTTTTTCCATCTCGATTGTAATCCCCACGGGTTTCCCATCACCAAATCACCCCTGT